TCCAATTAACTAAATAAAGAATGTAGCTGCAGGCACCTCACCGCTGTAGTGAAATGCAACACGGAGATCTTCTTCTAAGATGCTTTTCCTTGTTAACATAATTATTATTTGCAAAGTCGTTGAACCACTCCCAAGGTCTGTTCACTTTCCTGCATTATTTCAAAAAAAAAAAAAATGAAAACAGGCTGGGCAGAGGCATTTCTTGTCTTAGCCACCAGAGTCTCTGAACTCTGCAGAGGATTTTGATCCTCCTGGAGCCCTAAAATCATACCACTTACCTCACTTACTTTAAGCCTTTGCAGTACACTCATTTGGGATATTGGAGAGCTAGGCCAGGTCCCCGATAAATGTTGCCTTGAAAAAGGACCTGAAATCCTGGGACTAGGAATTTTAGCCTGAATGAGGAAGTCCACCCTGAGCGGGAAGTCTGATATGGAAAGCCTGGATAAGGATGAAGTCTTCACAGGATGAAAAACCTGGCAGGGAACACTGCGAAGAGAGGAAGAACAAGGGTGAGAGTGAGTCTTTCTGCTGTGAATAAGCTTTTTTATCCAGGAGTAAAAATAGGTCCAGGGATATAACTCAGTGACACAAGTGCCTGCCTAGCAAGCACGAGGTCCTCAGTTTGTTTTCTAGAAACAACCACAAAAACAAGCAAAAACTTTCAGCTGAGGAGCAAAGGTATTAAGGGCCTTTCCAAAGCCTACTTATGAGAGAGTTAACTAGTTGACTCCCTAGCTGCCACCCCCCGAGCTATGAAACAGAGCAGGAAGGAATGTCTTACTCCTTAACTCCCTCAGAGATACTAGAACAGGACAGAAAGGAATGCTCCTGCTAGTCATTAACCACAAGATGTTCTGTTTCAGCAAAGATAAGTAAAAGAATGTTCTGTTTAAACAAGACCGAGTTGTACCTGGCACTCTGAGATCAGGCCAGGACCCTCAGTCTCCATGGTTACTCAGCCCCAGACCCCTCGAATCAGCCTCTGCCAAGTCCTGCGCCATTCAAAATTAACCAATTCAATCTGCTTCTGTAAACCTGCTTGCTTCCCGCTTGTGCCCTTAAAAACCCTGCACAAATTCCCCTCGGTGCCCTCCGCACTCGTTTGCCTGGGGGACCCCATGCGCATGGAAATAAACTTTTGTGCCTCACCAAGAGCTGAGTCCTTGGGGTCTTCTTCCCTGCGATGTTGGCCCTTACACTTAAACACTCAGGGGTTTATGTGCCAAAGAAAGACCTAGCAATTGATAGAACTGTGGGGGCAGGAGGGGCGCGGCTGAAAAGATAAGAAGTATAAAATATAAATAACCTTTATTTTGGGAATGCGGGGAGAGACACCCCTGACCCCCTGGATGTGGCATCTCCAACCCGGGGCCAGCGATCTCTCCCTGGAACACGTGGAGAGAGGCACATAAGTAGCCTCTGCTTGGGGTGGAACCTAAGGGGGGCATTAGGGATGCACAGGGACCCCATTGGTCTCTGTTTGGCGCCTGGGGCAGATTCCTAAGGGGAGGGGGAGATAGGAGCTCCTTGGCTTTACCGGCTATAGTATCTGGCCTGGGCCAAAACCCTGTCAGCAATAATGTTAAAAGCGGTAACCAAATACAATCCATGGTTTCCTTAGACAGGCACTATAGATATTGATAATTGGGGATGAGTTGGAAAAAATCTTAAAGGCACGTAGCCCAGGAAAAATCATTTCTCTTGAGATGTTCTCAGTTTGGAACCCAGTTCATTCAGTTGTGAGTCTGGTAGAGAGCCCCAGGCACAGCTTCTGATTCAGACACTGACTGCAGCAGGAAGAAACAGAGGGCCTGGGACACTCCTCATTTGCATGCAGCAGGGGAGAGGAGTGAACAGGGAGTGAAGACACACAGGCTGGAGAGAAGCCAAAGGGACAAACAGGCTTAAGAGAATTCAGAGGGAAAATCTGTTCACAAGAATCCAAATAGGGGAAAAAGTATCATTTTACCAGCTGTTAGGCATGGGACAAAAACATTTTAAAGAATCACAATGTATACGGAACTCTTTGTTGTACTGAATCTAGTATTTACTCTTCTTCTGTGGAGTTTGATTAAGAAGTGTCTGGATGATTATGGACTTATTGGGATGGCCACCAGGAAACTGGCTTGGAGCAATATTTTAAAATCAAGTCCCAAGCAGGAGAGGGAACCTGGAGCTTGGCCCAGACAGTGGAGGTGAAGAAACAATGTTGCTTGTTTGAAATCAAGGTTATGATTCAATCTACTGAAAACACTGTTCAAGTCTCCCTAGATTCCTGCAATATTCAATTGGTTATTCTTCTCTTGAAAAAAAATGGAAAATCTATAAATAAAGAAAGGATACCTAAGGATTTTGGATTTTCTGATACTTATTGGGCTCAACAGATTAAGCAAGATCACCTTCAACTAAAATTGATAATTAAAGAAAAAGCATTTAAAGGGCTTTTAGAAACAGGAACAAATGCTCCAGTTATTGCCCAGTGCCATCAACCTGTGGCCCGCGGCCTCTGGGTGTGACAACTATAGCTGTACAGGTGTGAGCGATGTTTCTCACCCTGGTAAAAGTGCTCAAGTGATTCAACCTGGAAGGATGCAAAGAGTGCCTTTAACTGACTTGCTTTTGATCAATTTTATCATCAATTTAGAATTGCACCCACAAGTGTGTGGAGGAAAAATCTTTCAATGGGTGAGAGAATCCTCCCTAGATTTGATTGCTAGCCATAAAGGTCTGAAACCATTTCACGATTTTGCCTCTAAAAGTACGTATAAATAAATGGCAAAAGGCACAGAGCACTTTCCCTCGGCCTGGCCCGGCCTGGCCTGTGAGGCAGGATCAGCACTGCGGAGCTGGGGTTTGCAGCCCTGCCTCCCATGTGCTGAGGAGTGAACACTAGGGCCTGCCAAGCCTTTCAGTGGCTGGCCTGCTACTGGCAGCACTGCAGCCCTGGGCCCGGGGCCAGAAAGGCGGGACATGGTTTCGGGGAGGTGGGACAGGGCTCTGGCCTGCCCAAGCCATGTCAGTTTTTCCCATCACCTGCGAGCAACAACATCAAGGCCCCCAGGCCAGAGCAGGGGCACAACCCATATGTAGTGATGGCAGGAGAGAGCCCAAGGTGTCGAAATACCAAGTTTTATTTTTTTTTTTTTCTTTATAGCTTACCACAAAAATTCCTTATAATCTTCAGGTCTAAAAATAGTTAACATGCTCACAATTTAAATTTCAAAAAACAAAAGGGAAAGTTCATCTCATAATAATTTTATTTGGCAGTATATGACATTTAAAATCTTTAAATTCTAATGAAGATGTAACTACTGCAGCAGAAAGATAATATAATCAAATAAAAGCTTAAAAATATCCATTGGAAAGATCTTCATACTGGACAATAAAAGCACCAGTCCAGTGCTAATGTGGGGTTGAGGGTGAATTTTTTTTTCCCCCAGAGAATGTGAAATGGCCTATGGGGTGCCAGAACACTGTTTGGTTGTATCATGGATCCAAGCACCTCTCAAGAAGCTGACAGTCAATCTATGACAGTGATGCCTCAGAAACTACACAACTGACAGGAAAGGATGAAACTAAAATCAACCTTAATTGACCCAGGATGTCCAGGAGATACAACCAATGAAAGGGTTTTGGCCCAGGCCAGCCAGTAAAGCCAAGGAGCTCTATCTCCCCCACCCCTAGGAATCTACTTCTGGCACCAAACAAAGACCAATGGGCTCCCTGTGCATCCCTAATGCCCCCCTTAGGTTCCACCCCAGGCCCAGGCTACTTATGTGCCTCACTCCGCGTGTTTCATGGAGAGATCGCCGGCCCCGGGGTGGAGATGCCACGCCCCGGGGTGTCGGGGGTGTCTCTCCCCGCATTCTCAAAATAAAGGTCATTTATATTTCATACTTCTTATCTTTTCAGCCGCCGCTGGTCCCCCATAGTTCTATCAACCAAAAACAAAATCAATGGTCTAAAGACGTGATGAATATATAAAAATAACCAAATGGAATTTTTAATGAAAGAGACATACAAGTTATTAGTATTCTTAAGATAAAATGCAGAAGTATATGTTAATTATATATAAGATTTGTCTTTATTAAATCCTTTTATACAACATTCTTGCTAATTGGCCTATAACAAATCTGATTAGTCAACTTATAGTATAAATTCTAAATTTGTAAAAAAATAGTGTAATCCAATTTGGCTAAAAACACATTTGAATGCTCTCTGATCTGTAAAATATTTGTCAGTCTGTACATCTGTTGTCTGTTTGTCCAGTCTGCTTGTAAGCAGTACTTGGGAGTCAAATGAACTAGTGCATGGACCTGAATGCACAAGAGAACCCAATCGCCATGGAGTACCTGAGAAATGCCCTGAGGGCATTGGGTGCTGGGGGTGAACAGGTGTTCCAATGCTGAGAACACGGGGTTTAAGGGGGCATGATACAAATATATAAATAGCCCTGAGGAACTTAGAGAGTCTCACAGACCCCAACAAACCATGTGCTTGATTCTGTGTTTGTCTGAATCAGTACAGATCGTCTATGAAATCGTCCATCCATGTTTGTCTGTAAACCTCAGTTGGCATTGCAGTATACCTTTTGAAGTTATACTTTTCTACAGGAGGTTCAAAGCCAAATTAAGATGAGACCTGTGAACAACTGTACCTTTTACTTTGAGCTCAATAGTTTTTCTTTTTTCCTTTTTATTTTGCATTTTTGGATTATTTGACCAAAGGTTTTGATGCATTATTTACAAAGCATACTTTCACTTGGATTGCCAGCTGGTCCAAATGACACAAAGACTGGATATATAAATGCAATACATATTTTTCTTTATTATTAACTCAATAATCTCTCATTGTTTAAAAATTAATGGGCTAAATGTTATGATTGTTTTTTTTTCATAAATCATCAAAAAAGATTATTAAGATGCATAAACAAAGTCTCTTGGGGTTGAGATTGTTGGACAGGACTCTGAATGATAAATAAGAAATCAACTGCCTGGTAACATTTGTAGCCAGTTCTCGTTTATTGATTGGAGGCCCCAGTGATCTTCATAGTCTTATGGAAATACCTTGACAAAGTTAGACAAAATATATTATTGTAATATGTTCACATTGGTCATCAAAAAATAAAACAGTAAGTTTATTGATTTTAAAATGTCTGTGCAAAGGTTTCATATGGCTATGACAGATTGTTATTAACCTTGTGGTATATTAATGTATTCATGCAGAGATTTGTGGTCAAACCAAAAATTCAGATAGTTACAAAAGTGTCATAACTGTCAAGCGGTAATGTTGTATATGGTTTGCTTTCTAATTTTCTATGTAAAATATGTAACTATTAATATTCTATAGGTATCTAAATGTTAAAATATCCATGGATAATAGAAAATAAGTTTCATTTAATATTCTAATGTGTTTCATATTTAGCTAAGATAGCAATGTTAAACTTACTGCCTCTAATACACTGTATTGTTATCAATATTTTCTTCTGGATGTTCAACAGCTGAAGTTAGAGACCAAAAATTAGAGAGACAGATAGGCTAAGAGGATACTCAATATTTTGGTCCCAGCCCTTCAAGGCCAATGAGGACCCAAGACATAAAAGAACCTCTGCTTGGATCATCCATAGATACTCAGTGAATCCCTGGCATTTTTTTTTTTTTTTTTTTTTGTCTTTCTCATTTTTATCGGTACCAGGGATCGAACTCATGACCGCCTGCTTGCAAGGCAGGTGCTTATGCCGCTGAGCTAAACCCCCAGCCCTGAATCCCTGGCATTTTGATCAAGATTATCAGACCACGGAGGAAAGTGATCTTTGATGAATGGTGTGCTTAAGGAGAGCCACTAGGAGAAAAAATTTCCCAAGTTTTTATGCAAAGCAACTTGGTCAAGCAATGGCCTTGACCCATCCTGATGGTTAACACTGAGTGTAGAGCCAAGAGATGCTATGTATGATTCCAAGGCAATTCCTGAGGAGACCTGACTGACCTTAGTAGATGGCAAGAAACTGATTGTATTTAATACAGGTCTCATCTTAACTTGGCCTTGAACTTTCTGTGGCATATAACTTCAAAAGGTCTAACTTCAAAATGTCTAATACAATGCCATAATAAAATGTTAGCTTTAAAAGAAGATTAAATCACTAACACCTCTGACAATTGCTGGCTACACTGGTAACTGATTATTATGATAGATTGAAGGGCTGAATAGGATTTAAATTATGAGAGTTCTCCTAACACAGGCTCTTGCATGATTGGGGCAATGGCCGAGGATATCGGGTTGCAACTCCAATAACTAAATAAAGACTGTAGCCACAGGCATTTCACTCCTGTAGTGAAATGCAACATGGAGATCTCCTAGGATAGTTCTTGTTAACATACTTTATTACTTGCACAGTCCTTGAACCACTCTCAAGGTCTGTTCAGTTTCCAGTGTTATTTGAAAAAAATGATAAATACAGGCTATTTAGAGACATCCCCTGTGTTAGCCCCCAGAGTCTCCAAACTCTGCAGAGGGTTTTGATCCTCCTGGAGCCCTAAAATCACAATCTTATCTCATTTATTTTAAGCCTTCACTGTACACTTGTTTGGGAGATTGGGGATATAGGCCAGGTCCTATATCCTAGTATCCTAATATGCATAGAAAAAATATGTGGAAGGATACATATCAAAGAGATCACCTTAGGGGTATAATACTGGGGTAAGGAGGAGTGAGTGGATGAGTATACAGAAGTTTTACAATGAGAATTCATTATTTTTATTTTAAAAACCAAATCATATTTGAATTTTTTGGGCGGTACAAGGGATTTAACTCAGGGCCTTTGCACTGAGCTACATCCCCAGTCTACTTCTTATTTTTTGTTTTGATACAGGACCTTGCTGGTCACCAAGTTTCCCAGGCTAGGTCTGAGCTTCCCATCTTCTTGCCTCAGCTTCTTAGGATGCAGGATAACATGCCTGCAACACCATGCCTTGCAAAGTTTTCAGACAAAAATAATAAGTAAAATACACAGTAATTTTAAGAACTAAAATGCAAAAGTGAAGAATAAAGTCCACATGGCACACTTCTCCATTAGCACAGTGGTAGTATATAATTGTGTGGTCTGTTGTCAAAGTTACCACATCAGAGAAGCCATACCTCAGCCTCCTGAATTAAAAAGTTCCTTGGTATAAGAGCCCTCAAAAATGGTCCCTCAAGGCAGATACTAAAACTAAAATAAAAGTAAAGCTTAACTATTCCTGGAGGATGTACAGGAAAAAATGACAATCTGACTGAAAACTTTATAGACAAAAGAAAAAACTTCACAGAAGTCACTTTGGAAAACTAAAGCAGTTTGTCAAAGGTCAGGAACTAGAGGTAAGAGAACTCCCGAAGTGACACTGAGCAGAATTTCAAGTTAACTAATTGGCTTTCTATGTTTATCTGTAAGTCTGACCGAGGCCAAGGCCCCTTGCCTGGCAACGGGAGCTGACTCATAGTAAGTGAACCTCTATGAATCACTGGTCCTGGCTGAGGCCTGTAGTGGCCTGTGAGACCAGAGATGCCTCAAAGGGCAAGATGAGGCCACAGCTGAGGACACCTTGGCTCCAGCACTAATTAAGTACATAAACAGTGCAGCTGAAGCGATTCAGTCCTACAGTTTCCTACCATAAATGTCATTCTGGAGATAAGATGTTTCTCCTAAATTGGCATAATTTACCACTTGGAGAAGACTTTCAAGTGACTCCCTAGGTCCTTCTTATTGGCTACACTTTCCTCATTTCCCCGCTCTTTATTTGGACCTAATAATAAAAATGGGTTGTCTGGAGAAGTCTTTGTCTTAGCCCTCAGTGTCTCAAATTCAGCTAAAGGGTATTGATCCTTCTGGAGCCCTAAAATCATACCACTTGTCTCATTTTATTTAAGTCTTTACCACACACTTGTTTGGGAGATTGGGGATCGAGGTCAGGACCCAATACTGAACCAATGCTAATATACAAAAATCTTGGTAATCTAGTGATATAATTTAGGAACGTCGATTTTACTCTGTTTATGAATTCTGTCGACTTTTTTTTATTTTAAAGAGGATAAAACAAAACATAATGGAACAGAATAAAGCAGATCAGAAGAAAGCAATGCAAGTGACACAGGATTTCAAAGCAAGACAACAGGAGATCAACAGTGGCTATCATAATGTCTCTTCTTTTCTTCAAAATATTTGTCCATATCTTCACACACAAATTCCATCAACTTCTTAATCTTTTTATCTCAATGATTGTAATTTTAAAAATACTGCAATTTTAATTGAAAGGAGTACAATTTAATCTAGAGCCAGCATTGGTTTTTCTAGTAAAAAAACACAGTAAAGCAAGGTTAATGCCTATTATTCTTTTTTTCATAATTTTGAACTACTTCATGAAGATTTTGGAAGACTTCTCATGGATTGCCTAAGTTTTGTATCATTTAGAATTTGAGAAAAATCTTTTTTTCTCCTGTCCTAATTTGACTCCAGAAATGGCTTTTTACTATTAATTTGTGTAACAAAGAGGATTCTTTAGGTGAATTATCAAGTTGACAGTTAAATATACTTGTCAAAGTCAAAACAGCTATAACTGAAATATTCGAATCTTCTGCAAACTACATAGTTAAGAGCTTAAATCATTTTATGGAGGATTATATTCACTTTATAGATAATATGTAAAATCTGAAAAAAATTAATAAGAAAAATATTGTAAATAGCCAAGATAAAAGGTATAATGGTATAAACTCATGCTGATCATACCATTTTCAAAATTACAACAGCTAGATTGCTGTTTCTCAATGGATTATATTTTAACTAAAGAGAAGAGAGCAAACAGCAAAATATTTGTCACAATGTATAAAAATATTCAGCTTGATACCTGATAAACAATAACTATTGAGAAATATTGGGTTTGTAATGAACCATGGATTAAAACAACAAAAATATGAGGACCTAAAATGAAGGGAAAAACTGAGAACTAATTTCCTAGAGTATATATTTAGATAGAAAGTTGAAGCTCACGGAGAGCAGTAAGGAACTCTTCATTTTCAGGCTCTATCTCTTGGGCTCTCTCATAGTACTCAATAGCTTGCCTCTTTTTTCCCTCCAGCTTACAAATAAATCCCAGAGCACTTAAACTCTGCACATCAAAAGCATTAAGAGAGAGTCTCTTGGTAGCCAATTTTTCCAGAATACCTATCAGTTTGGTATGTAAGGATGACTTATCTGTGAACTTTAAAGCTTCTACATAATGGTGGATGGCAGTACTCTCTGATTTACAGTGAAATTCCTGAAAGCGGCCATACTGGTAATGGACCTCATGTTTGTGAATATCAATTATGTTCTCCAGATGAAGGGCTTTCTGGAAAATGTCTTCAGCATTGTGATTCTGGTTTCCCTCCACATACATTTGGGCGAGGCCCAGGTAAGCAAATGTAAACATAGAGTCTTTTTCCACAGCTGCTTTGAAATGAGATATAGCAGATGCAATCAACTGATTGATCTTCTCTTTATCTTGTCCTTCAGGTCTTTTGCGTATCATCTTCTTGATTCGAATCATTTGTGCCTTGTAGCAAAGTCCCATTTGGTGATGCAGGAAAGCACAATTTGGTGTCATCTGCAAGGCTTTCTCTAGAAGTTTAAAAGCTTTGCCATAGCAATGTTTTCTCCTATAGAATTTGGCTGCATCACGGAGGACATGAGGGTGGCATGGCATCTGGTCTAGGATTTCTTCAATATACTTTTCTCCTTCATCTCCTGCATTTACATCTTGAAGCTTGAGTGCCAGCAAAGCCTTAACGTAGGTATCATTCGGGTTCAAGGTAACAGCCTTCCTCAGAGGTCTCAGGGAAAAGCTCTTACTAGGTCCTTCTTTGTCAATATCATCCAGCCGATACACTGTGATGGCATAGCCGATGTTAAATTCCGGGTTGTCAGGTTCCACTTCCAGAGCTTTCTTAAAAGCTGCTTTAGCCTTGTGGTAATACTTTCCTCCAAATTTCAAGAATGCCCATCCTTTCTCACAGTCAATCTCAGGAAGCTCCAACTTGTACTTAGAAGAAGTGGACCATTTCTCACAGGCAAGCCTTACCTTGTCCACAAACTTCCGAGCTTTTTCAAGCTCGCCCATGTGATAAAACATCCAGGCATAGTTTCCCCACGTGACCAGACTTCGAACTTCCCTCTTGTCTGAGTGCTCCCTCTGGATTACTTCTTCTGCTTGTTCCAAGCACTTTAGAGCATCTTCATGTTGACCTTTCAGGTATTTCACATAGGCCAACAAATTACTAAAAGTAAGTCTGGATTCTGTGGTAAGAAATTCAAGCTGTAGTATAATTGAATCTTCTACATTAAGCAGATCGATGTCTTCCTTAAGTAAATTCCATGTAAAGTGGCACTCTAACTCTAACAAAACGGCCTTCAAGGAGTCCTTAGGAATTTCACTGTAAAAGATAAAATTGCTTTGTTAACTTTTGAAGAAATTAAAAAATTTTTCAAAACTTAAATACTGTGCTTTACATATCAATCAATAAGATCTCTTATTTGATTTTGAAGTACTAGGCTCCCATGGCTTTATGCTAGAGATTTTTTATGTAAGTTATAATCTCAGAAATAATTCATTTAAATTTTTATTATTTATAGCAAAACCAGTTCTAGAAAGATAAGAGGACTCTCCATGTAACAGGTTGCCTATTTCCTTTAGGCAGTCATTAACTCTTGAAAATTAGGAATAATATGTAAACATATATTCCACAATTAATGCAAAAATTCTATTTTTATAGTTTGAGTAGTGAAGGAAAAGAGTGAAAAAGAAAAAAAAATGAAAAAATGCACCAGAGGGTATAGAGAAGTCAAAAAAATGTATTGTTTTTGCAGAAAAAGAAAGAAAGAGCACCTCCCCTCCCTGGTAATCAGTGGGTGGCAGTGTGGCAGACTGCGGCCCTTCCAGGGGGAGAACCAGCAGTGTCTCCTGAGATCCGCGCCATGTTGGAACTTAGAACTCTGGGAAGGCAAGCCAGCACCTCCCCTCCCTGGTAAGCGGAGGCAGGGTGGCAGACTGCGGCCCTTCCAGGGGGAGAACCAGCAGTGTCTCCTGAGATCCACACCATGTTGGAACTTAGGACGCTGTGAAACCAAACAACCAGCCTGCCTCCCTGCTAAGCAATAGTGAACCTACTGATGCACAGCCTAGAGTCAAATATCCCACTTACCGCCCATTAGCAAATGGGAACCAGAAATCTGATGGTCTCCTGGGAGGTTGACCATAGCAAATAAGGGGGACTTCCCTTCAACCATCTCTTTGAAGGCAAATATGTTTATTACTGTTTTGCTCTTTTCTGATTAATGGTACTGCTCTATTCAATATTCTGTTTTGATAAGTTCTATAGTGTTCTATATTTCATCTCAAGTTGATATACGTGATTGAAAGAACAACTATTATAAAGATAACAAAATATACTGTGATACCTATTACTGTTATCCCAGTAACCTGCTGTGAAGTTCTGTACCAATTTCACTATACGATGTTAGTTGGCTTCATTCTGTCTTGTTCTGTTGTATACTTTCAAAATAAAATTAAAAAAAAAAAGAAAAGAAAAGAAAAAAGGAAGAAAGGCAGCAAACACATTCCACAGAGACAAAAAGCACAGAAACAGACAGTAATCCATATTCCAAGCAGAGGAAAGAATTTGTTTGAGATAGGTAAGAGCAACAAAGATTGAAGTAATGATAGGGAAAGAAAAAGGAAGCTTTAGGGGTTTTTATGAGTTTTTTGTCCTTTGAGACCATGGGTAACAATAAAGGCTAATTATCAACTCATCCTTGTCTTCCAGAAATATTTGTTGAATGCTCTTTGTAAAAGACACAGTGTCATCTCTGCAGAGCTCACTAGAGATACGGTTTCTGAACCCAGGGTGATGAGAGGGAAGACAGGAATAGAAATAGGTTTTCATTACTGAGGGCCTTTGTGTACAAGATCTGAATAACCAGAGCAACACAACTCTGAATAAGATACAGTTGTCTATACAAATTTATAAGGAAAGAATTCCATGAATCTTATATTATTTTAAGGAAGCAGTCAATTACAACTCAGTGCTTTCAAAGTGTCCCATGGAAGTGAGTTAAGAAGTGCGTATACTCCAGGCCTGTGGACATCCACGGCTTGTACTTGTCAGCTGTAGGCAGCAAAAAACCAGGATCCCATCTTGTGGTTTTCTTCATCGGATCTACCTGTCGTGCCACTCTCAGTTCATCCAGTTTGAGAGGAAGCAACACGACTCTCACCCCAGTTCTGTGGGAAGCCAGATATAACCTATTCAGATAGTCTAAATAAAATCTAACTTGGCCCAAACGGGACTTTGGTGGAACTCAGTCTAAAAAAAATTAAGCTGGTAAATATCAGCTTACAGTTGTTGATAGCAGTCCTTCCAAATCTTTGGGGAAAGGCTGCCTGAGAAACAGTCTAACGTGGAGTACAGACCACCCTTTCAAGAAACGTAACTATGACAGGAGTAGAGAAATATAACTATCGCTGGAGGAAGAGCTGTTTTCCTAGTGTAAAGCACTATCTTCTCCTTGACCTGGGGCAAAAAGATGGTCTCTGATTCCATTCGTGGCTCTGTATAATCTGACCTCCAAATATTACCAGTAAACTTCTGAAAAAGTAACCAGACTATGAAACTCTTCTGCTTAAATAAACTCTGTGCCTAATCTGCCAATGGCTTTCTGACACTCTTCACTATGAATCCAGGCCTTGTTATGTGCCACAGCTCCCTAGAAGAGCTGGCCTTGTCTGTGTGTCCAATGTGACCTTCTGTTCTCCCACTCATTCACTACAAGTTAGGCACACTGACCTTTCTCCTGGCTCCAGCACATAGAGTCATGGGGATTTTTCATCTATTCTTACTCTCTCTGATACGTTCGGCTAACAATTGTTGTGACCAGGTCTCCTGTAACTCAGCTCAAATATTCCTAATAGGCTGCCAATGACAGAACTACCTAAAATAGCCATCTCCAGTATGGTTCTCTCTCTTACTTCATTATACTGTGCTTTTTTATTTTCCTGATAGTTCTTATGACTTTCTGGATTATATTACTTAAACTTCTGCTGTCTGTATACTCCATTAAAATACAAACACCATGAAAACAATAACCTAGTTCTGATTTTATTTTTTCATCTCTGTGTTTGCCAGGCACACACAGAAGCTCTATAAGTATTAGTTGAATAAATCCAGTGTATGCTGTCAGCTACCAATATGTCCAGCCCAGACAAAGAATAAAAAGCACATGAACTGGCAAGTGCAACATCCTGAGTTCAATTCCCAGTACCAAAAAAAGTACATCAATTCTATATGAGAGAATTTCTGCCAGTCTCACCATACCAGATGATGGTATTGGAGATGACCTGGGTGGATCCCCTTGAATGCAGGCCAACTGCTTCAGCAGTAGGTGAAACCAAACCCTGTCTCCATGTGTTAATATGAACAGAGCTGGCTATGCTCTTTCTTTCTGCCTTTAACTGGCTCTAAGCAATGCAAATAAGCCTAGCTAAGGAACTGATATGTAATCCTTGAGGGTACCCAGCTTCCTGTTTCCTGGTATTGTTCCCTATAAACAGTTAAGCACAGCAGGATGACAGAGGAACAAAGCACCAAAAACGTCAACTGGGTTGAACTACAAGATAAAAGACTAAGACTTCCCAGGGCACAAAAGTTTGCATACCAGAAACTGAAGCCATAGCTTCCTAAATCATGCAAATGCAACCTCAATCAAGTTATGCGGATTGGTCTTTCTGCATACTCTTCTCCCTGCATTTTGCAGAAGTGCCTGCTCGCCACCTGGCCAGCTCAGCTCACACTGCTCATGTAATTCCAGCCAATCTCATGGTCACTTATCCTTGAGCCACTTTCTTCTTCACAAGATAATAAATTCTGGGTGAGGCTTTGGATCAGGGTCTTTGTTCTGTGTATTGCACTCAGAACCATTGGCTGCCTGTAACTTTGAATGCATCTCAGTGTCTTTATTTTTGCCATGCGTTGCACTGGGGGTAGTAGATTAACTCACTGGGTTTCCAATAACGTTTCAACAGGATTACAAATATAAAATTTCTCAAGCCATAAAGAGGACAAGAAAACAGATTACAATATTTGACACTCAACCTGACCAGAACTGGATCATGTTACTTACCTTTTGTTTTCTATATCCTCCATTAAATCTAAGCCCCATGGAAATAGTGACCCTGTTCTGATTTTATTTTTTCATCTCTCTGTATGCGAGATACATACAGAAGCTCCATAAGTAAATATTAGTTGAATGAATAAAAATTATATATACGGTCAGCTACTGATATGCCCAACTCAGGGGCATAGGCCTCACATAAAAAGCACATGAACTGGCAAGTACCATGTCTTGAGTTCAATTTGCAGTACTAAAAAAAAAAGTACATAAATTCCACATGAGGAATTTCTGCCAGTCCCACCCTACCAGATGATGACTCCGAAATTTTCTCCCAGGTCAGTAGTCCCTATCCAGCTTGTTTTATATACTGACTTGCACTCTGGCTCTGTGTGTGGATTCTGAAAAATAATAAAAATAATTTCAGATAATTTCACATCCTTTTCATATTTATCCTTTCATTGTATCAATACCAGAGAATGATTTAAAGAGTGCTTCAAATGAAATGCCATAAAACAAAAGTAACTACTTTGAACAATATGACAGTGAATTAAAGTTAAAACACCTTCATGGAGAAAGCTGACTGTGAGTTGATACATGTTTAACTCTCTCCCTCCTCCTTCTTTTTCTAGATTATAATGCTGCATGAAGTTTGGGTAAAATGTTTTCCTGTTCATCTTATAACTTTTATTATTTGTAAAGTCCTGTCAACTCTTGATTAAACAAATGAATTAAACATGTCAGTGTATATGAAGCTAGAATTTTATTTGCTACAAATGTGCTCAGCAAGCAGTTTTCTACTCACAGCAGTCACATTCCTTCCCCACCTCACACAGTGTTTTGTTTCACTGTTTTCTGAAAATAACTAATGAGAAATGGTTCAAAAACTACATCATTACCGTGAACTACATAACACATGCCTCTAAAAGCAGCAAACAGACTAAATACTAATGCAAAGCAAATAAAAAGTGCAAGTGGTGGAGTTTTCAACACCTAGTGATCACTTCCCGAAGCTTTCTCCAAGTGAGGAGCCAGGCTCAGGGACTGCCCCTAGTACTGCTCGGCTTCCTTTGTTTTCTCTTTCAGTCTGTGGACAAACTCCAGGAAGCTCAGGCCTTCCATGTCAGATGCATTTCTCTGAAGTTTCCTTAAAGCCAATTTCTCCAAAGAATTAATACTTTTATCTCTTATGAATGATGGCTCTTCTGTTCGTGTTAATTTTAAATAATGCCTCCTTGTACCAGTGTCTGATTTCTTTTGATATTCCTGAAATTTGCCATAGTAGAAATGTCCCTTTTATGGAATGTTTTTGTACCGATCCCTGATACCAAAAAATGGTATATAAATGGAGAATGTCCTAAAAAGGTTGGTTCAACATACCATCAACCAGAAGGAAGGAAAAAATTATGCTTGTTGGGATTTATGCAGAGGAGTGACTGACAGAATTTAACATTCTTTTCTAAAAATACTCAATGGATGACTAATGGAAAGCAACCTCCTCAAAGCAATGAAAACCACATAAGGAAAGCCTCCACTGGAATCATCCTCAATAGTAGGAGACTATTCCACAGAAGCTGTTAAAGTTAACAAGCAAATTCAAAGGATCCAAAATTAAGACTCAGTTGTTGTTCTATACATGTATAATAAATGATATGAAAGGAAGATTACGGAAGTACTCCCCTATGAGAAGATAATGAAACATCTAGGAATAAACTTAACCAAGTAGGCAAAGGCACGGATACTGAAAACTAGAGATTTTGCTGGGAGAAAGAAGACTCCTATTAACAGAAAAACATCTCTTGTTCATAGATTGGGAACTTAATATTATGAAAATATCAGTGCTACCTAAAATGGATCACAGATACAATGTGATCCCTAGACAAATCTCAACAACTTGTTTTTGCAGAAATGGAAATTTTCATCCTGAAATTTATATGGAATTTTAAAGAATCTCAAATTGCCAACCCAATACTGAGTATGAAGAATAAAATTGGACTTCTCACATTTCCTGGTTTAACAAAACTACAGTAATCAAAACAGTATAGTACTTGCATAAAGACCATGTTATGTGAAAGTGACAGAGACATATAGGTCAATGAAAGATAATGGCAATGTGGACCAATGGAAGTGCTTCTCAAAGTAAACCCTACAACATATTCCTATATTAATCCATTTGGGCTATTAGCACAACATAGTACATGCTGGCTGACCTAAAGAACAGAAGCTTATTTCCTCACAGCTCTGGAACCTAGAAGTTCCAGTTAAATGTCCAGGCCAATATGGTTTCTAGTAATTGCTTCCTCAATTGCAGATGGCCACCTGTCTCTAATATCCTCACATGGTCTTTCTTCCCAGGCTCTTCAACATGGATGACACTGGTGCCTCTTCATTTTCTGCAAGGAGATCAGTCCTACACAAGTCAAATCCCATTCCTTCATCTGCACTAAACCTTTATTCCTTTTACACTGTCTACAGATAATGTCATATTCGGAATTGGAGTTTTAAACTATGACTATGTGAGGTGACCTAATTCAGTGCACAACTACACTGAAGTGATTTTTGCCATTTCAACAAGTGATACGAGATAATGGAAAACTGGGGCTGGGGATTTAGCTATGTAGCACAAGTGCCTACTCAGCAAGCGCGAGGTCATGAGTTCAATCTCCAGTACAAAAAATAATTAGGGAAACCAGACATACAAGAATGAAGGTGGCACCTTAGCTTGTACTGTATACAACGATCAACTCAAAATGGACCAGAAATTGAAATGGAAGGCCTAAAGCTACAGGAGTTATAGAAGAAGGGATAAGGAAAAATGTAACATCATATTTGATGTATTCTTGGTTATGATGCCAAATTAATAGGCAACAATTTTACAAAGAAATAAGTTGTACTTTATCAAAATGAATAGTTTTTGTGCCTCCTAGGATACTAAAAACAGTGATAAGGCAACTCTCAGGATTAAATAAAATATTTAGTCATACATTGATATGGGATGTATATATAGAATGCATAAAAAGTCCTACAACTCATCAACAAAACTGTCAAACAATGCAATTAAAAGATTACAAAGAACTTGAGTGAATAATTTCCAAACAACCATCACAGGACCTGCACACCTATAAAAGTATGCTCAACATCAATTAGTGTTAGACAAAGGCAAACCACAGCCACAGTGCAGGTAGATGAGGTGGTGCATGCATATAATCCCATTGGCTTGTGGGGCCAAGACAGAAAGATTGAAAGTTGGAGGCCAGCCCATGTGAGCCAGTCTCGAACTAAACTAAATGGGCTGGATAAGTATCCCAGTGGTAGAATTTGAGAAATTATGGGTTCAAACCCTACTATGGTAAAAAATGAAGCGGAACCAAAAAAATCAATCCACCACCCACCACATACGAAAAACTAATCAAAACCACAACACAGTGACAGGGAACCAAGGTATCATTTTCACCCACAGAGTTGATAATAATAATGAAAAAATAGAAAATAAACCAGATACAGTAGTACAAAGGTGTGTTCCTTGCACTGTAGGAGACTGAGGGAGGACGATCACAAGTTCAAGTTCCGTACGAGCAATTTAGCAAACTATGTCTCAAAAACAAGTAAATAAACAAACAACATAAAAAGGGTTGGGGATATAGCTCAGTGGTAGAGTGCTACAACTGGATTCAATTCCCAGAACGGCACACAAACAAACAAAAAGAGGAAAAGAGTAAGAGACTCTTGTCAAGGGTGTTGAAGAAGCAGAACTCAAACACAGTGCTGGTAGGAGTGCACAATGGTAGAGCTGCGGAAGAAGGGAGTTTGGTGTTCTCTCAACAAATCAAAAGCAGAGTTACTGCATGAGACACACCTAAGCACGTGATCCTGGGTCTACGCCACATTGGCACAGATGCTCAAACTAATGTAAAACAGGTGCTCACGCAAATGCTGGTACACGGGTGTTCGCTGGTGCACTGTGGCCATCACACATGTTGAGCATTAATGAATGGACAAGTAAAGCAGAGCATAGTCACCAAGTGGAACATTGTTCAGCCATGAAAAATGAGGTGCTGATACATGTTGCAACATAGATAAATCTTAAAATCATCATGCTGAATGAAAGAAGCCAGCACAAAAGGACCCTTCGCAACTCCTTTTTCTCATTTGCTCTTTCTTAAAGCAGCACTTTCATGAGACTTTAGTGCACTTAATCTCATACAAGATTACAGTGAGCCCTTCATGGGACAGTTCCTTAACCTGGTGATCAACTTCATGCTTAAGTGTCCCCTTCATCACCAGATTTCCCTCTTACAGACATCTGTTCATGTGGACAGACTTCTAGTGGCTCTCGTCTGCCTTGTCCAGTTATTTCACAGCCCAGTATCCACTATCTAGAGACTCAGCCAGGAAGGAAAGAAAGTGCAGGTGTGTCTGTTAGGTGGGATGTGGAGGTAGCCCTTCCAGCAACGCTAAAATCCCTACCGCCGTTGATTACTTACAGAACCCAGAGAGAAAAGTGCAAAGTACCTCGCAGAAGAATTTAAGGAGCATGGGTATTGAGAGTGGAAAGCAAGCAAGAAAGAGACACAGCTGGGGGCCAATCCCCCACCCTATCACATAGGTAGGTTTTCTGCAGAGTTCTAATTGGTGGACAATAGCAAGCTGGTTGGAGTTCCACTGAGTCATGGTATCATGGAGAGGTGGTCACTGTGATATGTGCCCTGTCTATGTATGAGTGGGGCCAGTGCGGTAAGTCCAGTCATGTGTGCATCTAGCTGACCCAAGGGAAGGCGGTCACAGGGTGTTGTTGGGGGTGCTGGGTCCATCACACTGAGGGACTGGGAAGAGATGAAGAACTAGAAGCTGTGTCTAGGGGTGGCACTTTCTTTTTGTAGGAGAGACAGCAGCTCAGACAAAAATGGTAGGAAAGGCAGTGAAGTGGGATTTCATTCCAGCCACAAACTGAATGCTTTCATTTATAGAAAATGACCACAATGGGCAAAATCAGAGTCACCCAGAGCAGATGGAGGTTGCTGATAGCAGAGTGGAGAGGTAAGTAGATTGGCACTTAAGAAGCACAGAAGTCAAGGGACCTTTAGAGCAGCTATATACTGTGTGGTTCAATTACTTCAGTTATCAGTGAGAACTTCTTACATGAAAGAAAGTACAGCACAGGCCTGCAACTGAGAATTTTCTAATTGGTCTTTTCTAATTTTTCCCAGTGAACATTTCCAATGCAATATCAACTAATTATTTTATCTGATGGTATTGGGAATTATATGACCTATATTCAGTAGAGATTACACACAAATGACCATGGTAAGCCTTTTAAGTAAGGACAATTCGAATGCTCCCAAACAGAGTTTTACAGCCAGGACGCATGGGAAAGAGAATGTTAAGGATTTGTAGGGGGCCAAAGGAAGAGGTAATCTGCTAGTTTTCAGCCCTGTCAGAACTTCATCAGAGTCCAGCAGTCAGAGAGTGAGATCAGTCAGATAAAGTTGTGTATGCCTATAGTCTCAGTACCCAGGAGGGTGAGGCAGGCAGGCAGATTGCAAGATCAGGCTCAGTCTGGGCAATTTAGCTACTTAGCAAGACACTTTCTTAAAATAGAACATTACAAAAGGACTGGGTTTGTGGCTTAAGGTGAAAATCCTGGCTTCAATCCAGGATATTACCAAATACACACAAACACACACAAAAACCTAAATAGCAGCAACAGCAGAAGCAACAACCATAACAACAACAACAGAAACTGTGAAAATAAACAACAGGAGGGCCATGAATTTCTCTGCATTTTGGAAAGGTCCAAATGCAGCTCAAATAGCCAGGGGGACCCTGCTTTTCCCACACAAAGCAGAGAGCAAAAGAGATGTGTCTTTCCACAAGAGATGTCCTTCCTTTGCTTAGAGGGGCAGAGTAAGCCTAGCAGAAAGGAGTCTCTGAAACTGGGGTTGTTTTTTTTTTTTCCATTCCTGTGATACTTTCCTCTTCTTTGAGCTGTAGCATAAAAGAAGAAAAATGAAAATGCTAAGAAATGAAATGCAGCACCTTATCTGAGCACTTGAATTATTTGCATTCGCACACATTCCTTCCATAAGCAAACACCCAAAAAGAAGAGGTCGGAAACTTAACATGACTAAGCAGAAACATGCAGGATACAATGTTAGACACTTTTTCCCACGCCTTAGAAGTGCTGGCAGAGGGGCAAGAAATCATACCTCATGGCTGCTGTGAATAAGGCCACAGTTCTGCAGCGTTTCAGCAGGAGGTCTGCAGAGGCTGGCTAGTCTATCTTGCGAATTTTCAGATAAAGGGAAACCCAAGGGCTTATATCAGCTACTAATGATGCAGACTGGGGGTGTGTCTTCGCAGTCAGAATCAAGAAACTGAAACTAGAAAATGAGTTAAGCAGATCAGTAGCTGCTTAGGAAAGTGAAACTTAAGCAGAGATGCCTTCTTTGCAGTCTTTGGAGAACTGCCTGAGGAGAGTCTGGAAAGTCTGGAAAATGTTTTGATGTGGGAATTCCTTTCTGCTTGAGTGGATGAAGCTCTGGAACTAGGAGATGTTACTTAGTGTACAGTGCCTTGAGCCTAGAGACAAGGACTGTGAAAATGGCTGTGAGAAAGCGAAAAAAATCACGCCTTCCTTTCTTCAGGTCCAGTTTCCTATCTAGAACCAGAGTATATTCAGGTTATAGGATAAAGTTCTATGAACTTTGGAATGATAGTTTTTAACCCAACTGCTTTTATTCTCTGAGAAGGTGCCTAACTATGCTATATTTTTCAATAAATAGTCAGTGGCAAAAGGCCTCTGGTAACCTTTTACTTATCCACAGGAACAGAGAAAGCTAGTGAAGCTAGCATGTAAGATGTGACAATTTGGATCTGTTCCCGAGTCCCTAAATTCTCAGGAGTTGAACGCTTAGTGCCCAGCTGGTGACGCTGTTAGTCAGCCTAAGATTCTTTTCATAGATTCAGATGGAAATCATAAATCAGCAAAGTGAAGCTCTGCTAGCGGTCCTGAAGTTACCAGATGATACCAGATAATTTTGGATGCCAACAGCTGACACAGCCAGCTACTGATCACTACCACTGCTGGCCACCACTGTTTGGTGCTGGTTTACGTTGGACCACAAAGTCAGCTCTGCCAGATACTGGTTTCTGCCATTGCCAGTTACAGTCTTCAGGTGCCAGCTTATGCTGAACACTGTAGGTCTGCTGTGCTGGGTGTTGGTCTCTGCTACTGCTGACCACTGCCATCCAGTGCTGGTCTCTATGGCTGATCTTCATTGGCTGCTGGTCTCTGGAGCTCTGCAGTGTTAATTCTTAGAATTTATCGTGCTTTAAAAAAAACACCCCAAAACCAAAAACCAATCACACTGTAAATACAACTAAGGATAAGATTTGCAGGGTTTTTGGAGCCCCTACAACCTGAGCAATACTTCACGAGCATGTTTATAGCACCACCAAACTGAGTTTTTAACAGGGCTTGTGCTGTAGCTCAGAGGTGTCAGTACACCAGAAGGAGCCCTCCTCATAGGCTAACCCTAAAGTACAGGGAGTGGTACTTACAGAGCAGCTGCAGGCCTGTGACTGTTGCATACTTCAGTATACCCTCAGCTGTCATGGTGGTGACCCAGTGAAGGCGCAGGGCTGAAACCAAGCAATCTTCTGGGAGGCTCGCTGTGGGGACTGGGTATGTGAACAGTGGAATCAGGTCCCTCCATTCCTGATCTTAGCCAGGCAAGGGTGTGTCGATGTCCGCTCCCGGCCGGCAGGAAGGACACACGACAAAGTCTGGTAGTGGACAACCTTTTTTTTTTATTTTCCTTCTCCGTACAGCCTGCCCTGGGTTCTCCCAGCTGAAGCCTCCTCTGGTCCGCTCCCCGCGGCTCCTTTTGTGCTTCAGTCTGCCCCAAAGCCTCTACCGGTCCGCTCTCCGCGGCTCCTTTTGGGCTTTTACTTCTGGGCTTCTACCTGGCTTCTTCTTCCGCCCAGGGGTGGCACCGGTATATATACGGGTATAGTGTCCAATCATGTTAAAGTAAGCAAGGCAAGCTGATTGGCTAACATCATCAGTTGCCAGGCAGACTATATTGTTGAGCGGGTTGTTTACGCGGTAAGCAGGAAACTAACATATTCGATGGGAGGGGTAATCTACCTCAGGCTTTGCTCTTTACCACAGGCCGCACGTCCGCCGCGCAAGGCGAGCTATCACAGACGCGGCTCCCAACATCTCCCCCTATTTTATTTTTTATGAATGTGCGCATCGTAGCCCTTCCTGGACTGGGTGCAGAGGCTTATGCCCTATGTGTAGGCCCACCGTAGGTCCTTGGCTTAGACCCTGGTTGGCCATGCCATGGTCTGCCAAGGCCCTGAGGCCCTCGTCCTTTTTCTAGGGCCAGGCACAAACTGGACGGAACCTGGATGCACACAAGCTTGCACTCATTTCCTCTCCGTAAAGAAATCCCCTCGGAGAGAAATTTAGACCTGGGCAGCATCTAACAGTCCAGCGGCTTACGTGCAGGATGGGGTAGGGCCTGGCTTAGGTCGAGTCGTGCTGGGGAGGCACGCTCTTACCCGTCATTGACTCACCTACCCTGCTGTGTATTGTCACCTTATGGAGGAGAATGAGGGATGCCCGCCATATCTAGACTCGGTCGTGGGCCAATTGAGCAAGCCATGCATATGCCTGAGGATCTTTTTGTCCATTTCGGGCTACCGCTATTTTTATTCATCTTATTGGTTGGTCTGTGATGGATCTCCAGTAGGGCAGGTCTGATCTTCAGTCGAGGGCTTTGTTGCCCGTGTCAGTCTCTCCGGTATCCACAGTGGTTCTCGTCCCGGTTCCTGTGGGAAAACACAAACCGCGCCTCGGTTCCAGCTGACCACTGGATCCGGGCCCATCCATTGTCATGCCATAGATAACCGCGCCTTTGGAGGCAGGCCTTGGCTTACTCCCCCTTTTTGTTTTTTATTTTTAATTTTTATCTTTTTTTTTTTTTTTTTTTTATTGGTACCAGGGATCGAACTGGCGATTGCCTGCTTACAAGGCAGGCGCTTATGCCGCTAAGCTAAATCCCCAGCTCCCATTTCCTCGACCGGCGTTTTTCTCAGCCTGCTCGGCAGAGAACTCTGTGTACCAGGCTCACCAATCCAGGTAACTACCCGAGGGCAGACACGCCTTTGCCAGCTGAATCCAGTCCGCGGGGGTGAGGGGCCCAGAAGACAGATTCTCCAGCATGGCAATGGTGTAAGGCGCAGTCGGCCCAAAGGTTGTAACTGCATTTTTAAGTTTTCTAATCTGCTTTATCTCAAAAGGCTCCCATATATTGCGTCCCTGGCCCATAGCTACTTGTACAGGAAATATCCCGTAGGGGCCACTATCTATCCCAGGTGGATGTACCTCATGAGACAAGCGTCCCCCCTGCCAAAGCCGCCTGTAAAAATACCGACCCGCCGGCGGCGGAGCATAAGACAGCGGCCGTGATTGGGCGGAAAATGGGGGCCCGTGCATCACTTTCTGTTCTGGCGAAAGGGGAGAGAGCTCCCAGGCGGCCGCCTCGTGGCGAGGAATCGCCTCCGGAAACGGCCCCCAAGGTGGGGCGGAAGGCTTCGCCTCCCTCTCGCGCCGGGGAGCGCTTAGGAGCTCTCTACTCCTCCGCAGATCAGGTTGAGCAGAGCGCAATTCGCGGGGCAACGCTGGAAAAGAACCCTGCGACTCCTTATTGAGCGACTTAGGCTCCTGACAGCCGGTCTCTTTGGCCTCCTTGCCATTTAACTTTTCCTCGTCCTCGGAGTCAGACGACTCCGAGGCTAGAGCCCCGTCCTCCTCCTTAGCATCCTTGTTCCCCTTGACGGACCCCTCTCGGGAGCTCCCTGACTGGGCCTGCTCAGATACCCTGCGTACTTTTGTAAGCTCTTGAGAGCTTTCTCCACAACCACCCTCGCTCTTAGTGTTGCTACCTAACATGTTTCCCATCTTTTAATATGTTACTCACCGCGTGAGGCCCAAGGAATCCGCCACTTACGCGTGAGCCTGAGGGGAGTCTAAAAGCCCTGTAGGTGCGCGCCACCCAGAGCCCAGGCTTATCCCCAACTCACCTGTCTCGCAGCTCTGTACTGGAGCGTTGTCCACTTCCACGTCTCGGGGATGATCAGTCCCCGTACGGGCTTCCAAATGTCGATGTCCGCTCCCGGCCGGCAGGAAGGACACACGACAAAGTCTGGTAGTGGACAACCTTTTTTTTTTATTTTCCTTCTCCGTACAGCCTGCCCTGGGTTCTCCCAGCTGAAGCCTCCTCTGGTCCGCTCCCCGCGGCTCCTTTTGTGCTTCAGTCTGCCCCAAAGCCTCTACCGGTCCGCTCTCCGCGGCTCCTTTTGGGCTTTTACTTCTGGGCTTCTACCTGGCTTCTTCTTCCGCCCAGGGGTGGCACCGGTATATATACGGGTATAGTGTCCAATCATGTTAAAGTAAGCAAGGCAAGCTGATTGGCTAACATCATCAGTTGCCAGGCAGACTATATTGTTGAGCGGGTTGTTTACGCGGTAAGCAGGAAACTAACATATTTGATGGGAGGGGTAATCTACCTCAGGCTTTGCTCTTTACCACAGGCTGCACGTCCGCCGCGCAAGGCGAGCTATCACAGACGCGGCTCCCAACAAGGGTGCATCCTTCCTTTTCCAAAAGGCAGTGGTTGCATGTGAAGCAGTGAGTGTAAGGGAGAGGCCCCATGCAGATAGCTGAGCTGCTGCAGTGGAGTGGAGGCCAGTGGCTGGCCACTAGAGAGCCACAGAAACCACTGGAGAGCCAGGGAGGCCAACGAAGCAAGTTTTCCCAGTGCATTGGAGATGGGCAAAAGGACCTGAGAAGGAGGGTCGTAACAGCCACTGGCCAAACCATCTCTCCTTCTAGCCAGCAGGAAAACCAGGAGAATCAGGTACTGCTCCTCTGTCTCAGTATAAAGGGGAGGCGCTGGAAACTTCAGGAGGTATTTTATAGGCTAGTTGTTATTATTATTCTGTAAGCTAATCCTTTCCTGCCCCCTCCCATTTCCTCTCCTCCTTTCTCCCTCTCTTTATTACTTGTCTTTGCTGTCAGGAGATGAGCAACCTCACTTCTGCCTCACACTGCTGCTGGTACGATGTTCTGCATAGGACTAAACACAAAGGAGCCGGGTAAACACAGCCTGAATCCTCTGAAATCATGAAACAAAATAAATCTCAATTCTTCTAATTCAATCTGCTCAGGTATTTTGTCTCTGTGAAGGAAAATTGGCTAATAAGTTGAATTTGCAAAGGGAGCCAGTAGGACTAGTGACGTTTTACTTATTTTTGGTATTTTCAATGCTCTTTTAGTGAGAGAGGATGACATGAT